TAATGCCTTTCAACCAGTTTACGGTCACCTTAGAAAGGTACTGCTCTGATGGTTCCAGAACAAGACTTTCCAGTTATACATCTCGCACTTGTAGAATGTAGATGATGTTCAATAGCACCTTGCAGCACTATGGTGATTCCTCAGGGACCTCCAACTGTCCACCCTCAATATATCTTTTCCAAAACGGGTATGTAATAAGGGAATCGTAATATGCCTCGCCGGTGTGGCGAGCGGCGCCGCGCCAGGCAGACGAGTTGTTCTGTCTGAAAAATCGATATTTCGCGTGTTGACAGCCCGAAATCTTGTATCTGCTTGAATATATGTGGATTTCGCTGCTCGAATCGACAAACCAATGCACATAGAGAATTTGCCGCGTGCGGTCGCACCATGCGCCGCGTGCGACCGCGCGTTAAACAATTGCCCCATCCGTCTCCCCACTAGAGTTCGTTAATCTGCAACAAATCCATTCCTCAACGATTCCGAAACCTTTTTCTTCACAGATGTTCATAGGGCCTGCAGATATGTCAAGTGTGTGAGATCAGTTTAGGGAAGTATGGGGGATCAGGTAAACCATGGACTCTCAATCTCTGCTAGGAATCCCGGATTCTCTTCGGTTTAAGTTGTTTTGCCTTGTTGAAGACAGGAAGCATTTTCGTGCGCATGGGAGCTCACCACTTTATCCAGTTCGCTAATAGAGGTGGTAGAGATCATAATTTTACCCCCTGCTCGGAAGACTCACCCGAGGTGCAGAAAAAGATACCCTAACACTCGTTAAGCCTGAACAGACCTTGAAAAACTCGTCGTGTTGGGATATCATCGTCTCAATATGGCCACCAAAGGAGTTTGCGCGCGAAAGAACAGGTCCATGTTTTTACGGAATCCAGTGACAAAAAAATGATACTTTAGGGGGGACTCAGTCAGATTCGTCTCCCGCAGCAGAGTGCTCATCTCATCTGAGCACTCTGCTAAGGGAGACGTGCAACAGAATCGTTCGGGGCAGTGCCCGCGGCGCATGACTCAGCAGCTCACTTTGCATTTGCTGGCCGATAGCTTTGTGACTGGAGCAAATGATTCACTACATCCGCAACATTTAGCAGGTTTCATCAATGACTGAAAATCTAATGATGTTTCTTTCGATCTTAATACGCAATTGTTTGGCGGTTCCATAAACGCAAGTTCGGGAAATAAACAGATGCAAAAGAAATCAGGCAAGGCCGTGATTCTCCCTATGCTTATGTGGTTCACATAATTTGCCAGTCGCCAGCGTCAATATAATAGACAGATAGGCAAGTTTTCTGTGAGCTGCTGTAAAAGATGACAAACCAGAGCAATGTTAGAGACCCCAATGATTTTCGTGCTCTATTGAACCTTTTCATACTCTAACTGAAAACTTACCTGTATCTGAACACAAGACTCTCCTGGGTGATATCAATATTTACCTTCCCTTCAATAATTTTATACTCTAACTGAAAACTTAACTGTATCAAAACATAAGACTCTCCTGGGTGATATCAATATTTACCTTCCCTTCAATAACCCTATTCAAACCGCCAGAAGCACGCTTCGTCTTCTCGCCGCAAGTATGTCGCAGGCCACGCCCACCAGCTGCTCGGACGATTCTGTTGCTACAGAACCCTCTGCTGCGCAGTAACGGCACCGTATACAGAGCATGCCTCCTAGTAACTGATAGTAGTGCAATTCGGCGATTCTGACAGAAGAAAAGTCAAAGCATTTAACGGGGCAGAAGTGGTCAGCTGGAGTCGTCCAAGATTTTTAAGGTTCACTAGGCTTAGATTCCTGCTCATTCCCTTTCGTCAGAGTCTGGAAGAGCCAAAAACAAATGAGAGCAATCTTCTCAGACGCCCCAGCAACCACTAAAGACCATTTGTAAGATCCTAGGTAACCCTTTAACGGAATCAATATGACTATGTCCTGCCTGGGGCAGAAGCCTAAGGTTGCCGCACAGGGAACATTGCAAGCATTATGGATCTGGCAAAAGATCCCAAAGTGATCAGGAAAGAGGACTGTGTTCCATAACTCGTAAACTCTCGCATTTTTCCAAACTATGCGGGTTTTCATGTACTTAAGGTGGGATCAGTGTTTGAAGTGAAGGTGGCAGCTCAGTGTGACCATCACTACAACCTAAGTGGTCCATCTTATGTCATGGTGCTAAGATCAAGGGAAACTGCAGCCTCCTAACCATAAGTGATCGATACCGGTGAGCGGTTAGCTAGGAAGTCGGGATAGCTTTCAGTATTTCTTGTGAGAAAACGATCCTTTTTGACTATCTGATAAGGGCGGAGAAATCGAAAACGTTGGCCAAGTAAGATTAGTCTCGGATGGCTCAACTTACCCACTGGTTTGAAATCACCTCACTGCAAATGACGCAAGAGCTGTCAGGGAAACATCCACTCTCAGCTAGACAAGTCCCCTTGTTTTACCAGCTTTCTAACCAGTTGTAAGGTTACAAGGTCATATCTTCCTATGAGAAATAAATAATCGCCATGCAAGCTATCACGACAGATGCCTATAAGAAGGAAAACTTAATGTAAGTAAGTTTTAGAATCCTTCATGTATACCCAAGGCATACCATGGTTACCAAGAGGGAACCGTTCTCTGAGCACAACTTCTGCTCACCGCCGCTCAAACTTAGACCCCTTTCACCTCCGTATACAAGTTCCCTACTATTGTAACTCGCTCGATCTCCATTCTCCTGGAGGAAAAGTGGTGCGCGGGCGTCAATAATACAAAACTTACACCAGAACTAAGGCAATCAGTGAAATCTAATAGACAGGGAGCAAACTCATTGTGTTACTGGAGTTCTACACCTTTCCACACTAACGCAGACCCTCCTAAGCCAAATACGATATCGTTTCATGTGACTCGAATTCGACCCTCCTCACATTATATAGAGCTTCCGTGATGTTTTCTTTTTTGACAGCGATTTTTCATCTTTGATGAGCATTGTACGCACTTTCTGCAATTTTCTGTTCCATTCCATTGATATGTTCCTCCTTTCCTTTCATGAAGGTTCATGGTGTCTTCAGCTTCGAGGGCATTCTTAGAGACGGGAGCTCCTCCTAATTGTAAAAACGGACCGCATGTCTCTGTAAACCAGCTTTGGCTTTCTATGAATGTATTTGGATACTGTGTATCCTGTCGATCAAGAACTGGGCACTTCGTGCGTAGGGGACGGGTTATATGTGGTTTCTGGAGGGAGAGGGCCGTGCTTGCCATCGCAAAAATGTTGTCGACTGTTGAGTTTCCTCCCTTTTTCCTTCTCTCGAATATGCTATATATCCATGCCATAAACCCCGTGCTCTCGACGGCTGGGGAAGAAGTGGAGGAATATTTGGAGACTCTAGAGAAAAGTTAGAGTTGGGAAAATTCACAAAAATTATAGTAGGTTGTCCGGAAAGTTCTTAGCGTTTTGGGTGTTTCCACTTCAAACGATCGCAAACTTTTTTCCCATACTCATCCGATTGCATCGAAATAGGCACCATTCGAATCAGCACATCGATCCTTCTGTCAATGTGACAGCAGTCGAGAAATCCCATCAAAAGTAAAAAACTGGGTGGTGCCTGGTCCTGTTTGATGAAGTATTTCCCACAAGGCAAGTTCTGAAATGTTCGCAAAAGGGAATATTCGGTGTGGACAGGTCTGGAGAACTTGGCGGTTGAGGTTAAAACTTCAACCCAGAAACCCCAAATTCGTCATTCTCTCCACACTGATTTGTGAACATGTGCAGCGGCGTGTACAATGTCAAAAGAATCGACCCTTTCTTGATAGAGTGTTGCTGCAATTGACAAAATTTCGCATACATTGTCGTCGCTTTCTTCACAAGTAGGGTTTGCTGTGATGGTTTGGCCTGGTATAAAGTTATAGTGGATCACACCAGCCGATGACCTCCAAGCCGTGACCAAGGATCTTTTTTCGTAGGGTTCGCTTTGAAAATTTACCACGGGTGGTGCGTCTAATCAACACTGTCTGAACAAGCTCCTGTTATGATACATGACCCATTTTCATCACAGGTGCAATTCGGTCCAAAAACAGTCGTTTCTGGTTGCGGGACAAAATGCGCAGTGACGAAGGAACCTCGAGACGTGCCGATTCTGCCGGTTCACTCCGATTGTGGGGCAGCCAATTGCCGAGTTTTTTCAACTTCCGCATGCTTCCAGACCAATCTGCAACAGTGAATATTGCTAAGGCTAGCTCTTCTGCTAACTCTCTCGAACTGTTTTGGGATTGGGTCAGCCTCCAAAAAATCCGCCTCAAATCCTCGTCAGATATTGCTTTAGGTCGACCGCTATGAGGTTCATCATTCAAGGCTGAAATCTCCAGAACGAAAATATTTAGAGGGCCATTGCTGCACAGTGCTTTCTCTACACTATTGGGCCCTCACACGCAGCATGCTCAGCTGGTATTTAATTTGTTGAGACTGTTTGATTGCGATCGCCCGAATTTATAGTCGAAGAAAAATAATCGTACCGAAGTGCTCTTTTACATGCTTTGAAAAAAAATCTAGGAATAAAAAGGGGGTTTATTAAGCCATGATGGAACGGCAATTACACCATCAGATAGCGCAAGAAATTCTCCACAGGATGTGCTACTGAGAAGTAAGGCAGAATGAGTTCTTAATCAGCAGTGAATGTACAAAATTTAGGTGCACAAAACGCTAAGAACTTTCCGACAACCTAATAGTAAGGCGGAATGGGAAGGGGATTGTACGAGTGTGGGAACTTTCGAGAAGGGCTCGCATTTCGCAAAAAATCCTCCGAAAAGCAGGACGAGCCCTGAACACGATTCGAATCAACAACATTGACGTCGAAGTTAAGCGGCAATAACCAGCGTAGCCCCATCTTTCCACCCACTCAGTATCAGCTGGCTCATTTAGATTAAAAAAATGAGCACATATCCTTACAACAGTAGTGGGAACATTGCTACGCGACATCGACCACAAATATCTAAGTTTCTAATAGATTTTTTTAGAAGTCCTTTAAATGGCCGACAAACCATCACCGCCAACGTCAGTCAAGAAGAAGCGTCAGGCACCAACGATGGCTTTGCCCAAAGAACCCAAGGAAAAGAAGGGTATTCTCAGAAGTCTCTCATTTCAGGTATGGAAAACAATCTCAGATGTTTCACGTTTTTTTACATGAATGATTGCTTAATGCCTGGAAACTTATTCACTGAAAAGTTCATTGCAATCGGGATGGCGAGAAGTAAGGTATCCAAAAATTGCCATGGGGACGACTAGTTGATGACGGTCACGGCTTCACTTTCTTGACGATCTTTCAAAAAATTCAAAAATCATGAATAAAAAGTTGCTGGTCAAGTTGGTGCCAGAGGGGTGAGTCCGATAACCCTCTGACTCCGGACCTTGCAACAGCGTGGAGAAAGCCGGCCTTAAGAGAGAATCTCCACCCCGGCGCCGTATCCAACGGGAGCGGTTCAGCTCGTCCAACATGGCGTAATGGCGCACTCCTGTCACTGACACTCGTTCTGACGGAAGTTCCCCTTGTCGCGATACGCGCCTGCAATACATGGAGGCCTCTCGCCCGCTCGGAGGAGTAGAGCGAGGGGTTGGAAGTGTGTTCAGAAGAGGTATCAAAGCGACATGATGTGCGCTGAGGCCCTGTCTCCAGAACCCTTCGTTCTTACTATAGCCAGAAATACATAGGTCGAAGATTCAGACTAATTCAACCATTTCTGAAAATCCAGAAATTAATTAGTTTGGTTTGGGATCAGACGGGAAGAGGTGGTATAGTGACATGTGGCAGCCTCCTCAAGTCACTGTATAGGCCACATCGCATTCAGTACGCCACTACGATTCTGAATGGAAACAGAATGCATGCCGCATCCCACAAAGAGATTGATTAATCAAGAGCGAAGACTTTATCCTTTTATCCTTATCGAATAGCTTCGCTGGGCGATGATCCGTCCGCGTGTGAAGTGGGTATTGCCCCAAAGTTTTCACAGCGTCCAGTGTTCGCCAAAAGAAAGTTTTCGAAATTACCGAACTTCACCGTTTCTTTCGTTGTATGTACCCCCCCACCCCCGCTCGACGGCAAAATCTTTGGGAAAAAGTAGGAAAGTCTCGGGAAATTTCGGAAAAAGCAGCAGGAAGTTGGGGAAAATCTGAGAATTGGTAGAAGGGTTTCATATTGTACTGCGTATTGTCTCTCGGCTTTTCCTGTTCCTCTTTTACTATTTACCCTCCCCCTCCCCGCTCACGGCTTGTTTCGATGAGGAGGAACATAGGATCAGAGGAGGGGTCGTATCACCCCCCCCCCAAAAAAAAAGGAGGGGGGTCGTACGGACTCGACTAAAATCCCCAACCAGTGATGTGCCCTGCCCCCCCCCCTCCTGGAAGACAGTCGTCAAAACTTTCTATAGGGTACCCTCATCACTCTCAATTCATCTACCTACCCGTCACTAGTTTCACTCATATTTCCCATTTACTGGGCTGCTCCGGATGCGTTTTGAATATTTTTGTCCTCGGCTTCAACCATTTCGGCGAACGTCCCGCCCATTGTGTGCGGAGCTTAGGTGGCGTTGTGGGTGCTCTGGAAGTGCTAGCCCATGTCATGTCTATTCCAGGCATAATCAGTGCCCTTAAGGTGAATCTCCACGATACCCCAATTTGAGGCGGTCAGACAGACGCACAGACACACAAACAACTTCTGTTTTATATTAGGTTTTTCGAAAAGTAATGCGACGCTTTGATTGAATTGTTCTAGAAGAAGACCAAAAATCATTTTGAATGTTTTTATCCCTGATTAGTGGAGATTGTTCTCCGGGGTTTCTGCACATGGGTATATCATAACTTTGTGGAAGTTTTTAAAGCTCAAAAGTCCCTCAGAGATCGAGGTACTTTTCGACCTACCCCATATTGTTAGTTCCTGGAGGGCCGCTCCGCCGTAGTCGAGGAAGCTAACACTTACGTTGTCTTGATGAAGGATATCGCTTGCCATGGCAGAGGGTAGCTTTTGCATCAGCGCTTTCAGGCTGAACTTATTTAACCCGTGGTTAGGCAACTATAGGTCGCCCACCGGCACAGAATGACGGCCCTTTACTCAAGCTTCTTGAGGCGCAGCCGAAGGTAACCACCAGTAAGTTGGCAACCTCTCTAGGCTCCACCTGACTGACAACTGCCATGCTTCTCCGCAACCTCGGTTATCGGAAAATTTTTTGTGAAGGATGCCTCATGAGTTGGACCCATCTGACAAGTCAGAGCGAATAACCGTGACTGAGTTTTCTTTTCCTTGTACACAGCGAAAGGACTTTTGTGAGATCTTTTGGTTGGTAGCGAGTATTTTAGTCCTTGCGTACATCATGCACATGTCCCTCGCAGGATCTCTCAAGCCGAAAAGTAGATTGCTTAGCCAAAAACAGATGTGCATGGGATAAGGATTTCAGTGTGTTATTGGTGGAACCTCAAAGCGGTATCACTGCTTCTGGTACCGTTGTAAGGACCACAATCCATCTTAATCGACTTCAAAATATGGATGACGTCACGCTTGAGTTCATTCAGAAACACTTAATTTTTCTTTACTACTCGGCAATGCGAAGACCGCTGTGGGGATCAGACTACGCTAAAAGACCATGGATTTCGATCAGGGAATGCGACTGTACCCAGGTTATTTAACAAAGTTAGCAGCCTCTAATTACCACCTCCTTTAGTCTTTGTCGCATCCTTTAGAAAGCAAAAAATCCGAAAGTCGATCTCAGCTCGGGAATGAGGTCCTCCTCTTCTTTTTATCATAGCTGCCGTAGTTCTATGAGAATGGAAATGAGAAGCTGTGCAAAACATGGGCACTAGTCCCAGTCATTAATGGTGATTACCTTGTAGATTGGAGGTGCCTTTTAGTAAAGGAAAATTTGGTTCGAAAATTTGGTCAAAGTGTCGCATTACTTTTCGAACAACCTAATAGATAGAGAGATCCTTGGAAACCGTATGAGAGGCATTGCGACTTCTTCAGCGGGTGTTTTCACTTTCACAAACTTTTTTCTTTCAGTTTTCTAACCTTGGCAGGAGAAAGGATAACCCATATGACATGACTCCCGAAGAAACGACAAGTGAGGAGTTGGGACCAATAATTGGCGTGCAATGCTACGGTACTCTTTGGAAAAAGTACAAAAAGAAGAATCGACCAGCTACGTGGTCGAAAAGGTGAATCTCCATAAGACCATGACCCATTTAGAGGCACAATCTACGCTTACCTTTGGGCGGGGTGAGCTCTACCAGTATGCTTCAATGACTGGTGCTTCCTTCTTTCTGGAAAAAACTGTTTCTTCAATGTGAGAGTGAAACTACTTCAGGTTCTTCCTGCTCAAAGAATGTTTCTTGATCTACTACTCGACTCGCTTCAAGAAAACGTTCCAAAAGAACAAGAGAATCGACTTGCATCCAAAAGTGAGCCGAACCAGAATGGATTTTGTAGAGAACCGTACAGTGAGAGAGTTGGAGAATTTCGATTGTTTTCATAAATGTGAAGCGGTTTCTACACTTTAGACTAAGGGTAAACATTCTGCGATAAACGGATAGGCGGGGAAAGGGCTACTATAGCTTCCTTACGGATACTACCTTGTTGCATGGTAGTGAACAGGAATGGCGTCCTAGTGAGATTGTGGTTTTAGACTCCATTCATATGAACGCACTAGAATGTTCTTTGAAAATAGGTGTCGAATTCGTGCATAAAATCGAGAAATGTTTTCGTACAAGTACCCTTTACCCTAACAAATTATGTTCCCAAAAGCAGCCAATAGTTCTTCGTTTCAGGGTATAATCCCTCTAATTGGCTGCTCGATAGTGTGTGGTGGTGATGTCGGCCGAAG